TTTTTTTTTTTTTTTTCCTCTAAGTGAAAGGAACTTGAGTGGTGCTTAGCTGAGCCTGAGAGGTTGATAATTGATGGTGGGACAGGAAAGATAAGTGAGGTCTTTTTCTGATGTTTTAGTGCTTACAAGAGCATTTGGCCAAAATTGATGTAACTTTCTTGTCAATACACTTTTTACTACTACTATTCAGGTTCTGCTACCAATGGAATGTTACATTAGTTGTCAAAAATAGTATCTACTGGCCAAATTCCTTTTCACTTCTCCATTCTCCATTGTGCTTGTGCAAAAAGTATTTAAAAGGAAAAAACAAAACTATATTGTATATCTTCTTGTTTGGTGACTTGAAAACTGGTTACATCCAAATATTCAATCAAATGCTAAAATTACAATAATAAAATGAAAAAAAAAAAAAGGAATATTGTATCAGTTGTAGGGCAAAACAAAGCCCTGCACCTTAGGAAGAATCTGAAAAGCCAGGGGATAAATAAAAAAAAAAAAGAACAAACCACACGCAGCCCTTCGGCTTTTCCTCCGGTCCAGGAAAAATCTGTGGCTTCGAAATTTTTTATTTTTATTTTTTTTTATTTTTGTAAAGAAGAAAATGTGAAAAAAATGAAAAAGGAAAAAAAAATGCATGATGTTACTTCTCGACAAATGATGACTCAGCAAGATCAATGGCTCGAGCGAGAGCAGCAGCCTTGTTTTCACACTCCCTCTGCTCGTCAGCAGGATCACTGTCTGCAACTATGCCGGCCCCTGCTTGGAGATGGGCAACCCAATCCCTTCGTTTTCCACTGTCTCTGTACGAGTACATTGTGTCGTACCTCATGTTGGTCGGGAAAACAATGGTCCTTAAAGCTAAAGCAATATCCATATCTCCCGTAAAAGAAATGCCCCCAAATCCACCACTGTATGGCCCCCGCCTCTTCACTTCTAGTTTATCGATAAGTTCCATGGCTTTCACCTGAACATGTTAAGAGCATTTTTTAGGATTTTCAATTTTTTTTTTTCTTCTTGTTTTTTTTCAAAGCATGGAGACGTGAGACGTGACTTAGCCAAGAACGGACGGGTATATATATAGGATGGGTCCATTATATAAACACAGATTTCAGGTTTAGCTATGAATGTTGAAAGAACACAGAATGGTGAGATGGTAAAAAAAATTCACTGGCACGACTGACCTTGGGGGCTCCACTAACTGTTCCAACAGGCAATGCTGCGCGTAAAGCATCCCAGCTGGTCAAGTCAGATGACAACTCACCAGTAACCTACGAGAACATAAATTTAACACGAGAATGAGATGGCTAAAGAATAGTGGTACTATATATATCAAATAACTCCGGAACTCTTGGAATGAATATGCTCGGGAAAAAGAAAAAGAAAAAAAAAAGACTATTGGGCACTTCTTGATGTATGTTTCGATCAGCAATGGCATACCCACAAGAGACTTTAGAGGATTTTTCATCTATATAAAATAATAAACTATTTCTCTAGCAAGAGAAAAGAGAGTTGTGCGAAAAGGTAACTCTACAGTAAAAGTACATACAGTGGAACTGATGTGCATGACATGGGAATATCTTTCAACATTCATGAGCTTCTCAACCTTCACAGAACCAGGTTTCGACACCTGCAATGGCATTTGTGAGTGGTAAAACTTAGATTCTATATATACAACTCCACATAAATGAGCAAACTTGTACTTCATCTACATTTGCTTTCCTACATTAACCTAATCATATTCTAGCTGGGCTAAAATATATCACTTTTCATAGTTTAAGCACATTAGAAAGTCTTAGTCAAGTAGAACGAGGTTGTGCTGCTTGAGGTTGTGATTGCGAATAAAACCATGAGAAGAGCATAAGGTACTTGTTTTAGAATGGTATACCATATTTCATCCGTAAGGAACCAAAATCCCAAGCTACAATCCTACACAGCGCATTTCTCATGAAATAAAATCATAGGCCAGTGCCATTATTTGAATGCGTTGCATATTGATTACATCCCTTTATCCTAAAGAAACGCAAGTTCTGAGCTGATTGTCATACACAAATTCTGCCTAGCATTAATTTATGTGGAATATACATCTTGGGAGTCCTGAAAGAATATGTTAAGAGCATGCTTTTCGGACAGGAACTGCCCGTATGCAAAATTTTAAAACCACCCAAAGGGATGAGTTGATTTAATCTCATAGAATAAAGGGAAGGGGAAAAACCTTTCCAACATCATTTCGTCCCAAGTCAACAAGCATAATATGTTCTGCACACTGTTTCTCATCATGTAAAAGCTGATTTTCCAACATGTAATCTTCCTCTCGCGTTTTCCCTCTTCGAACAGTTCCAGCCAGAGGTCGATTGGTAACCGTGCCCTGTCATAACAAGAAAAAACATAAGAATATTATCAGAGATATTTACGATTGAGAAATTGTAAATAACCCCTGGAACCTTTTCCTCCACAAAACATAGCTCACGCTTAACCCCTTTCCATTCTTCCATTTCACTTTATTCCTTCTCCACACACATTTTCCAACACAAATTTTCAATTAAAAATCAATCATTACCACACATTTATCTATAAGATATAGTATTCATCCACTCACATATCTATAACAACCAATCATTATTTTACGATCTGCTAATCACATCACAATTAATTATTTTTTTATAAAAAAATAAATAAGTGAATGAAGTTAATCATTACTGCACACAGTTTATCTAAAGAAATTACAATTCATCCACTCACATATCCATAACTACCAATCATTATTTTACTATTCACCGATAACATCACAATTACTTATTACTATTTTTATAAAAAAAACAAATAAGTGAATGGAGTTGATTTGAGTTCATATCCAATTGCCCCTAAAATAAGTTTTTATCTTTCAAAATCAGAATATGTCATAAGCATATGCATGGGCACAAGTTTCATGCATCTCTATAGACTCTATTATATATACATATACATACATGAATATAAATATATAAAGGGCTTGGTAGTATTATTTTTAGGCATAAGTTTGTCCAGAAAATAACAAAAGGAAAAGAATTAGAGTGGGAACTGGGAAATGCATGAAACGAAATTTAAGATAAAAAGCATGAAAACAGTCTCTCTTTTAGAGAACAGTACTTGCCTTCTTAACTCGAGTAAGAATTTCAGGACTTGAACCAACCAGGATACAGCCTCTCGCCTAATCACCAGAAGGTAGATTCTTAGGTAGAAATGCAAAAACGAATCCTCGTGAATGAAAAAATTACAAGGAAGGTTACAGACCTGTAAGTAGGTCATATATGGACTTGGGTTGACAATTCTCAACGCTCTATACACTTCAAAAGGATCAGCAAAAGTGCGTCGTTCAAACCGCTGGCTGAGCACAATCTGAAAGATATCCCCAGCTAAAATATGCTCCTTAGCTTGCATCACTGCATTCTGGTATTCTTCACTAGTCATGGTGGACTTGCTCAAAGAAGGACCAAAATGGCTAGTGTATAGTTTTATGGAACCCGCAGAAAGCTTAGGGCTGCAATTAAGAATAAAAGGAAAATGGACAACGATAAAGCCAAAAACAAATGAAGAAGGAAAGAAAAATGAACCTGAAGTGAGATCACTTACGGCACTATGTCATGCACTCTTGACACTAAAGCTTCTAATCTGTTCATCCCATTATCATAGGCCTCTTCAACAGAAGAAAACTGATCCAATCTGACCCAGTGTATCACATATGCTTTCTGAGAGAAAAGGTACGTGATGACCAAACACTTAATAAATAGCTCTAAAAGTAAGATTCTCAAATCAAGTTAGACCTTGCAGAAAGTAAATTTGTTTCTGAAGTCAAAATGTCCTTCACATAAGTTACTAGCAAACGGATATATTATTAGCAAAGGTAAATGTAAATGAGAGAACATGAAATCCCATAAGTTACTAGCAAACAGATATATTATTAGCAAATGTAAATGTAAATGAGAGAACATGAAACTATACTTAGCCAGATCAAAGTACTTGAAAGATTTTTTTCTTTTAACTTCATTGTATTTTCCATCTAACCAGTCACATAATTTTATGAAGTGGTTCTATCAAATGAGGGCAAATTAACAAGAAAAGTGATCAGTGCAATAGAATGCAGTCTGCATGATGACAAAACAAGCTAGAACAAGATAATACAGGTTAAGACCTGAAGTGCTCTTGAAATGTCAGTGCATTCTAGGACCAAAATGGAAAAAATAAAATAAAATAAAAATGAAGGAGCAGGAAAAACCTTCTCCACGTTATCGAACACTATAACATCATCATAAAGCCCCAGATGAATGTCAGGAAGATTTCTGTCATCTTCAGGAGCTTTGGAAAATGGAAGTTTTTTCTGCTCTACATAGCGCACAGTGTCATATGAAAAGTAACCGACCCAACCACCTGTTTGTGAGAAAAAAGATACACTTAATGAGTTCGTTATGCTTTGTAAGTGGAAACAAAGGTTGGTAGGAAGTGATTTCAGGCTAAGCTTGTATCAAGTATGAGCCTACGGGCTACAGATATCATCATAGAAAATGTGGTAAGTAGCTAGTAAGTATTTCTTAATGGAGTCACATAGTACTAATTAAATTTGGAATAATGCAAGATCAAAGATATACCAATAATAAGGTTTTTTGTATCCTGAGACCAGACAAAATCTCATTTTAGCTAGTTTCCAAATACAAATTATGATAATCAGGGGAACTCATGTCAGCATTCGCACTTCTGATATCTCATTCTTATAAACTTCAAATTAACATGCACCAAAGTTTTATGCATATATACCACAAAATGCTTCAGGAAGTTCATTAATGCGTTGGGGTTTCCACTTCTCCATAATCCTACGAGGAACCACCATAGGATCCTCCACAAACTCCTCTGTCCTCTGTCCTTCATGATGATCAACTATGGTCACCATGTTTTCTTTTGCCACGATTTCCATTGTTGGCTGAGCTCCAATTACACTATATCGTCCCTAGCATTTTGTGTTAACATTAGCTAAAGCAAAACACACACACACACACACAAAGAAAAATCACATTCAAATTTAACGAATAATGATCTGCAGTTAATAATGGGACAGATGTGACAACGCCAAGCAAGTGATATATGTTTACACACACACACTCACAACCAAAAGATGTTCTTCCTTGTTTTCAGATACATTAAATGCTAACCAAGAATAACAGAGTTGAGCTATAAATTTCAGGGTTGAGGTAGGTCATGAAGAGCTGGAACAGTTCTACTAAGATTAGGAAGATGGAGAATGAAGGTTATCTCAAGATCTCTGTGACACATCGAAGGCATGCAATAATAATTAATTAACAGTATTCAACAACAATAAATTAAATGGGTGGTTCAATGAATGAAGTTACCACAATTCCTCTGTAACGCATCCGACAAAGGCATGCAATAATAATTCATTAACAACAATCAACAATAAATAACTAATTGGTGCTTCGAATTCTGGGAAGGATTGGTTGACGACTAAAAAAGTTATCTTCTTTTTATTAATCGAGCAACAACAAGGCCTGAATGTAGAAACACGGCCTCAAACACCTCCCAGAATTTTCAAGCTTAGAAGGCCAATATTCAGATTATTTTTGGATTTATACGATTTAGATAACCAATGACTACTTGTGATCGAAGTATTCAACGCTGCTTAGACTTTGCAATATGATCAAGCTATTTTACAAAATGAAAACTTATCACAGGTCATAACAATTTCCTGATTTAGTCGGCCAAACCCCAACAATAGTAATCTTTGTTAGAAACCAATATAATAACATCAACGAACTAATATAATCTTAATTTCCACAAGGACCACCAGATTACCTTAAATTCACACTTCCTAATTGACTAATATGAGGTAATTCAAAAACAACTTAACAAGTAAGAAAAAAAGGAAGCTTACGACACTGGATGCTTTTGGACCAGGCTCAACTGACTCAAAAAGAAAACTGGGGGCGTCTCTCTCATCTTCCTTCACCAGACACCGATATGCAAGCACTGGAGTCAAATGATCAGAAAATATGGGCTTGTACATAGGGATCAAATTCCCTTGTTTAGCAGCTTCCTTGAACTTGACAGATTGGTCCACTGCAACAATCATGGCAATTATAGTCCCGATAACATATAAAGTAAAAGCAAAAGTAAAAAAGGATCAACCTTCATCCCTTCCATTTGTCCATCTTCATTTTAAGACATTTTATCATGCGGCACTTGATTCCCTTTATAAGGAGTATATCTTATTTGCTATCTGTTTATTACGAAAGTATGTTATCCCAAAATGTTGGAATCACTAAAGACAGCTATTGAAATTGAATCTACACATTCTTTCTAATAGGTACTTAATTTCCTTTACAACCATATCAACTCTTCAAAGAATCTTACTTTCAAGGAATGCAATAACATGCCCCTGAAGACCATCATTACCAAGGTTTTTTTGTTCTTTTCTTTTTTTCTTGTTTTGGAAAATTGGCAAAAATGCCACCTTTTTACTTTGTATTTGAATGAGCTTCACGATTGGATGTAAGTCGTTGAAGTTTGCAAATCTCCCTACTCTTCCACCATTCCAAATATCACCAGATACATAAACATCAGGCAAATACATATATATATATATATACACACATATATATACAAAAAAATTCTAATCATCCATGGTAATGCATTTGATAAATGCCCCAAGTGAGTATTCTTCTTCACACGCATCAACACGTTGTAATTGGGGATGACTATATGAGTTCTTTCCAACCACAGGCTCCACAGCAAAAATTGGGGGTGAGTTGAACAAATACCCCCCCAAAAAAAATGGAATAAATTGGAATTGAATCGAACAACTAAACCATTCCACACACGCACACACGCACACACACACACACACACACACACACACACACACACGCACAGAGGCGAAACATTAGAATGCCACATAACTCAAAGCGCAAAGATGACATAGACGACTGACCTAAGGATGGAGGTGAGGTCGAGCATTTGAGGGAGAAAGGTGTCGTCTTGAAGGTGAGCCTTGAGGTGTACCGGCGAGGAGAGAAAAGCGGTTGATTACAGGAGAAGGCTAGGGTTTCCATCTTCAGAGCAATCCAATCCTAGATTCCTCAGAGCCGATTGTACCAGCAGCACAGTAGTTGGAGACGACGAAGAGTACTACAGAGTACAGAAAAACTTGTTGGCTATTTGAAAAGAGGTTCGTTCCCCTGTGATTAAAACTTGCCGGCTCAATTGCTGTGTCAGTTCTTACAACAAATAACTAACAAGTTTTATGGGCCCAAATAATATAGCCATATAGTATAGGTCAATTTATTAACCTAAATATAATAAATTCTTATGATTTGGAGTTCAAGATTTTGGTTTCTAGGTGGGAGAGTCGGAAAAAATTGGTCAAACCACCCCCTCTCTATTTATTATTTCATTAACTGTCATATTTTCATGCTTCGGATATTGACATGTACAAAAATCTATGCTTCGTAATGTTATTTATATATTTTTTTTTTTGCTCTGGAGTTATGTTTGATATTAGACACTAGTACAACACCCGTGTATTACACGGGTGCTTGTTAAAAAATTATTCTTAAATTTTAAAATTAATGAGAAAACTATATTAAATTTAGTTTACTTTTTTACCAAAAAAAATATATTATTATATATTTTAGAATGATATGTGTTACTTATGACTTACATGTGTTATATTATATTAATTTTTATAACTAATATCATATAACTACTTTAAATATAAATATATTAGTTGATAAATAATTTTATTTTTCTAATTAATATTAGATATAATTTTATTATTGTTATAAAGATAAATATAAATTATTATTTTTTATACATACAATATGGATGTTAAATTGAAACTCATTAAAAGAAGATTAATTTGATATATTACATATGTAAAACTGACAAAAAATACAAAATTTATTAACTTTTAAAATATATATACAATCCAATAGTTATAATAAGAAATGATATTAAAATGTCAATTAATACATGTAACATGACCATAAATAATCAACATATTTATGGTAATCCGAACCTAATTATTTTTTGTTTGGAATTAAATTAAAATTTACCCAAACCAAATACGAAGCATGTAATTTTGCCACATAGGATTCCGAAGCACCAGAAGTAGTACGTAGGCTCAGCACGTTCTGGATTAATATATAAGGGGAGGGATAAGTAATTTTTTTCAAACTTGGTAAGTGTATATTTAATTTTGTTTTTTTTTTTTTGTACACATTTCTTTTTTAGTTTGGGTAATTAACAATCTTACCATATTATAATTTTCTTTCATATTTCACTCCTCAATTACCATTTACAAATCACTTACACTGTTTATTCCTCTTTTTTTTTCATCAATTAGTCCATCAAAAAAAATTAAATAAGAAATTTATTTTACCATTAACTTTTATCATATATTTTCTTTACTCGACATCCATGCAGTACACGAGTATTGTACTAGTGTCAATTTGGAGCTGAAAGATAAAAATTATTTATTTAAATCTTTATTAATTTAGAACTCTAAATATGAACATAGTTAATGCTCTTATTATTAATAATATAAATAAAAACTTTTTTAATACAAAAAAAATGATTTTGAATAACATAATTAAATTTCAAACCCATCTTGCTTTTGTTTTCGAGCGAAATAGATTTTATGGGATTTTTAAATTTTTTTCTTACAATTTTTTTTTTATTTGTATGTTTTTATAAAAGGCGAGGCATATAAAAAATGATTTTTCTTTTCATCTATTTTTTTTTTTTGTTGCATTTTATATTTAAATACTTTTTTATTTATCTTCTCAACAACCACGTTTAAAGTTGAAAAAAATTGATCATTTTATTATTTTGAATATGAAAGAGAGATTAATAGTTCAAACCTCAAATTCATAATTGATCATTATTTTGGTTTCGAATTGATTGATAGCTTTTATCTTTTAGAATTCAACTGATAGCTAATTTATCTTTTGGAATAAGGATTGACAAAATTCCATTCATTTAATCATATTATATTACTAATAAACCTCAATTACATGCTAATTAAAATATCCTATCATCCCAAAAACATAGACGGTTATCCTTCCCTACATATTAATTCAAAATGTGTTGAGCTTCGGTGACAGATTCTCACGTTTCGGATGCTGAATGGCGAAAATCTATGCTTCGTGATGTTGTTTTTATATTATTTTTGCTTTGGAGTTAGGTTTGATATTAGACATAAATAACTTTATACATATATTCATTAACACAATACTTATGTTATACATAAGTATTAATACTAGTAGGGTTGATACGACAACTATATAATAAATAAATTGGTTTAATTAGTTACCTAATTTATTCTTTTGATAAAATGATTTTAATTTTCTATATTTTATACATGTATTTATTATTTTTTTCATTGTTATAACTTTTAATTACATTTACACGAGTCCTATAAAAATGTGTGCACTATTGAGGACCCTTCACTTATGATCTCACCAGATGAAACGCACTATAAGAAAGTGAGACTAGATGTACCTTTAGTGAGGTTTCGTCTCAAAATTGTGATAGACCAACTAAACTTATATATAAGACTCATTTGTCCTATCATATCAATGTGAAACAACTCACAATTAATATTTCAACGCAGCCAACCTCGAGATTATGCAGTTAAATTCAATATATACATGTATATTTTGTTTTTATGCACAACAGTTGTTCTTTCATCATTCCATGTTCATGCTTTACTTTTGTCAATCCTACTCTTCATGCTTTACCAATTTAGTCAAATCCCACGCCGAAATCATATCTTGAGAATTTTCAAGAAAAGGCCACTTTTTGCCCTTGTGTTTAACAAAAGTGTCACTTTGGTCAACTTGGACAGTAAAATGATGAAAACATGTGTTCACAACAAGTGAAGTTATTGTGAAGATAAAAGTGAAAGACATTTAAAAATAAAATAAAATTAAGCGATGTCTTTTGAGGTCGTTTACATTTTTTTTTTTGCACATTTGTATGTGTGAGAGAACTCGTGATCATACAATATCGTATGCTTGTTGCTTGATAAGTCCAACCACTGAGCTTGAGATCGGGCTCGAGCAAGTGTAAATTTGAAAATCTACTCATTCTCTATAGACGTGGCCCCGAGTCACCCGGCACGGTCAAACACGTTGACCACGCGTCCAGGCTCGACTCAGATTTTAAACGGGTTGAACATGTAACTATAAATATCTATATATATATAATTAGTGGCTCATGAGCATTTAAGAAAACCTATTAAATTATACCTATATGGCAATTTAACATTTTTCCTCCAAAAACCGTTACTTTTTATTTATTTAACCTAATTAATAGATAATCATATAATAATCAATTTAAAATTACAAAAATCATTTTAAATTTTTTATTACTGACAATTGATCATATAATGTGTTGACCGTATAATGTGATTAGATGTTATTATTGTTGTTCCATGTAAATTAATTTTGTTGGAAAAATAAAAAAAGTATATGAAATTCCTAAATTAATAATAAATAATTTACAAAAAAATACATACCAAAATATACATTACATTCAATCTAATAAATGCAATTTAAAAAAAAAAAAATCAACTCTTTTAATTGTAAGTTTAGCCTGCAAAAACAGTGAAATAAAAATCATTAATCATGTAACACCCCGCCTAATTATTTCTAGAATTTATAA